GTCCTTATTTCTTAGGAAACAGAACTTAAAATATTTAGGGTTGAGATGTCATGATGTTCATGATATATGCAACTTGATATGTTTCAGGAAGAAGCATAATAAGAATGATAGAGCAAATATAGCAAAATATTAATAATTAATCTAGGGAAAGGATAAATGGGTGTTTATTGTTGTATCAGTATATCAGTTGTTTGTATCTACAGATCATCCCCAAACTTAAAACAAGCAAATAATAGTGATGATGATTCGGATTATTATGGTAATAATGATGATAGAAAATAAGGGAAATGGAAGAGAAGAAGCAAGTCAGGTCCCAGTTTACACAAAGGAAAATATTTTTATTTTAAATTTATTTTCATTATTATACTGAAAAAACTGACCTAGCATTTTTAGAAATTATTTCTCATTTCAACTTTTAAATCATTGAACATTCAGGTTATGAATGTTCTGGTACTCAAAAGAAACTAGACAACATCCTTTTCAGTTCAGCAGCAAATATTTTCTGAGTGTCTGCTCTGTGCCTGGCTTATTTTGAGACATAGCCAGCTCATTTCTCCCAGCTCTAATATTCTTTGGTTCTGTGATGCTAAGTGCCTAAATACAATAGCTACTGTAGCTCAAGGACAAGTCACATTGGTTGTCCTCAGCGTGGCATTTCCTAAGCATCAACTTAGACCTTAGTTCCTCAATTTGAATGTGAAGATTGGTGAGGTCCTAATGGCAGAGCACAGTTAAGCATCGCACACACTGTTGCCAGTAGGAGAAATGAAGGAGCTGCATTATCTTTAATACATTTTTATGGCTATTATTTCTCTTGGAATTGCGTTCAAATCCTTTATTTTGCATTGATAGTTCTGGACTCTTCATCCTAACAGCTACATTTTATTCAGTACCTACTATGGGGTCAAGCATTTTAAATAGGCATTATACCTACTTTATCCATAATCCTTACTACACCCATTTTGCCCCAAATTCACACAGCTAGTAAGTGGCAAAACTGGGTTTAGCACAGAGCTTTTTGTTACTTTAAAACTAGGAGACTTTCCTTTACACTGTGTTACCTAAACCTCAATGATAGAGGGAGTCTGAGGAGAGTGTAGCTGGGCAGCTCGCCTTTGTCATCTACCAGACTTACACCCTCTCTGCCAAATTAGGAAGCACAAATAAAATATAGGTTTTTTTAATTCCCCAGTTTTATCACTTATCATATGGTACTGTAATGAAATCTTTCTACCCCCTATACCACCTTCTCTCCAACTGTTTGAGGGCAAGGGAACTTTGTTTTATTCATCTTTATATTATTAATACCTAATACATAGGTACTCCACAAATGTTAGTGAACTAATTATTAATGGGCCAAAGGAAAAATGTTATAGTAATGGAAAACAAAACATTTTCTTATGCTTTTTCTATGTGCCAGATGCCCTTTCTTCACAAAAGCAGTTTGCTGATATGCTCAGTTTTCACTGTTTTGGCCTGTGTTTAATTGAGCTCAAGAAAAAAAAATCTGAAATCTGAGTCTGGGGTTCATTTAACTGTGCCTATAATTTAATGAGATTTATGTAGCCCAAATTTACTAGCATTTGCATATTAGTAAGAATCTTTATATTTTGCTTATTATTACTATCATAACAGAAGAAAAATTTTTGTTGAAAGCTTATTATGTTAGAGAGAAAAGATTATTTTAAAATTATTCCATCTCCCTTTCTGAAAGCTACAATAGGAGTACCTCCAGCCTGAAGATCCTCTTCGGATACTCTTTTTATTGTGTCCTTTTTCTCACAGTTTAGAGCTTAAAGTGAGATTTTTTTTTTTTAAAGTGTGTTTTCCTGGCATCTCATGTTTAACAGTGTCAGGGTTTGTGTCCCTGGACGAAAACTGTTTCTCCAGAGCCTTTTTTCTCTCAGCTTCCAGTGAAAAGAGGGGCGAGGCGAGCCAGTAGCTTACCACAAAGCAATGCCACCACAAAGGAAAGATTAAGGGTTTAGAGAGAGGTCAATGTGGGTTTTTCTCTAACTAAACACTTTCCTAAAGTTTCCTTGTGGAAAAATAATGAAGTCATCTCAGAGTTTTTAAAGAATTTTTATTTCTTTTTCACCGTCTGCATTCGCTTGTCTTCTCAGCATGGATGTTTAATCTTCCGAGGCTTTGTGAATTGGCCCAAATGAATAAGTGGTGATCTGTCTCTCTAGGAGCTAGAGGCTTATTCTAAGGGCCTAATCACTGAGTAAACACATCTTTGCCCTCCCTCTCACAACTGCGATATAATAGTCGGGATTCTAGCACAGTAACCTGGATATTGCAGGGACCAATGCTTTGAAATGCAGAATGGTTGATCCTCCAAAACAGACAGTGCCTGATCTTTGCCTGCCTCTTTCTTCTTTTGTAAATTAAATATTGCCAAAGAGATGCTGTTTTATTGCTTGATATTGTGCATTAGTGCCCTGGATTTCCAAGTTTAGTTTCAGTCAGCACTGTCGGTTGCACTTATAGGGAACTCTGCATGTTGGGTTTCTTGGTAGCCTCTTCGGCACATGTGTGTTTTGATTTGGAAGAGCATTTAAATTAAATCAGTGAGATCGCAATGTAAATCTCTAATCTCTTTCCCAAAGTTTAAATTTTCTATTGCAGTGTTCTTGAGAGAAATAGGCATTTCAATGATTTAAGTATTGCCATTGTTTGGTTAGAAATATGCTGATTTAAAAGTGGACTGCTCTTGTTCCCACTGTCTCATTAAATATAGTTGCTGAGAAACGATTGAGCAGAATTAGAGGTTGACATCCCTCTGTCTATTCAGCTGGAGAGCTCCTAAGAAAAGGAACTCAGTTTGTTAGTGCTGCCAGGTTCAGTTCCTTTCCCTAAAGCAGCAGATTTCTAGATTCATTTACTAAAAGTGATTAGGCATTGCTGCTGCCATTTGGTGTCTTTTTTTTTTTTTTTTTGCCGGGAGTGGCTGTTTGAAATCAACATTCAAGTTTCTTTCGTCAAACATGCTGAGACCTATGCTAGCTTAGGGATGCAAAGAAGACTGAAAGAGACCCAGTCCTTACACTGGAGAGACTTTGTTGGGGGGGGGGGGGGGGGGGGATGGAGGGGAGATACTGGTAAACAATTAGAATACTAATGGGAAGAGATAGAGGTCCAGAAGAGGAAGCTCTTAACTCTGCCTAAGGGAATCAGGGGAGGTTTCACAGAGGAATTTGCTTTGAGCCTTAAAAGATGAGTAGGAATTTATCAGATAAGTATCTCTTCAACAATGTATCTGATTACAAACTTCCTAGAAGCCTCTACGGTTTTCTGCAGACTCAACATAGATGAACCCTGAGTCTTTTTTATTCATCATTTTATCACCACTGCTCCCTGCTGTGCCTAACACAAAGTATTTCATCAAATGCTTGTTGAATGAATGAATAAATGACTTGAAACATGGAAGCATCTATTGTTGGAGTAGCTGAGCTACTTATCTTAGGAATCCTGCTCTTATTCTCATCACATGCTGTCTGTGAGGCTCCAGAACCACTGCTGTATGAGCAGTGGCCAGTCTGGCATCTTCATATTATATAAGCACTTTAAGCCTTAGCTATAATGTTGGCAATTTCCCTGCTATTATCAAAGAAAGAACAGTAGGCTTAGAGTCAGTCAATCCGAGTTTTATTCTCAGATGTACTGCTTACTTAACTGGTTATGGAATTTAGGACAAGTCAGCTTTTAAATTTCCTCATATACTAATAAAGTTAACACTATTTTACAGGTTTATTCTGGGGACTAAAATAGATAATGGGTATGTAACTGCCTCCTCTTCATAGTAGATGCTTTTGGAATCTTAATCTACCTTCATCTATTATAAAGTTTAACTTTGAAAAAGATATTTTAATGATTTTTTATTATAATTTGGTTTATTTATCAGGATAATTCCATGAGATAAGTTGATCAGACTTCATTAACTTTCATCAACATGAGCCTTATATTTTTCTATAAATGTTCTTTGATTTAGTATCGCACACAAGTTTTTCTTTATTATCATCACATCTTTATTTAATATGAAGGGAAAGCCTGAGCTTCCTTGAAATTTTCCTTTGCTAGAATTTCAAATGTTTGTACATTGTCTTTACCATAAAATTTTATCTTTCCATTTCCTAGTAATTGACTGTTCTTTAAAGTCAACTCTTCTACAAGATAGCACCAAGAAGTCAGTTAACGACAATTTAGGCTCTTTAATTGTCGTTGTTGTTGTTAAAGCTGTTAGGTTGCAATTTATGTTGCTCAGTTTTAATTTTTAGTTTCTATGATCTTACTGAATGTTCAACTACGATGGAACACTTTTAAGAGACCAAATGTCATTTCTTGAAAGCAAGTTTTAACAGGTAGAAGGGAAAGAACAATTTTCCATATGAGAAACTACATTGTTGGGCATTTTCTGAAATATAAACCAGAAAGAATTTATGTGAAGTGAACATTTTTCTATCCTTTCAAGTGGCAATTAGAAGTTACCTGCTCTTGAATTAGAATTTTAATATGGGGACACATTAAGGGCTTTAAAATTACCTGTAGAATTAAAACAAAACTTCATTTTAGACTTTTTCCTTTTAAGTAGAAGAGACTACTCAGTGTTTAGATTAAAAACATTAAAAATATATAAAGAGAATTTGACATTCACTATTAATCAGTATTTTTTCTTTGTATAGCTGAAGAGTTCAAAAGAAAATGCAATTCTTTTGCAATTTCTGCTTGAGATAGGCTTGCAAACGTTAACAGGAGTCTATGATAGCAGTCTGTAAAATGGAATATAATCATCCCAGCCTCTTTAGAGTATAAGGAAGCAAATCTATTCATATCAGTAAATGCTTTAGGAACTCCCAAGTATTGGGTACTCTTTTAGGGAATAGCATTTAATTTTTGTCTTTGCTGCTTATATTGACTGAATCTGATGCCCTTCTAAAATTTAAGAAATCTTACATTAGTAAATATTTTAACCCATCAGTTTTTTCTTCTCTTTTCAGAGAAAGCTTCTTGCTATCTACCTCCACCATGATGAAAGTGTATTAACCAACGTGTTCTGCTCACAAATGCTATGTGCTGAGTCTATTGTCTCTTATCTGAGTCAAAATTTTATAACCTGGGCTTGGGATCTGACAAAGGACGCCAATAGAGCAAGGTAATATTGTTCATAACTTATAGCTGGGCTATTCTTTTTTTTAAGGCCATCACTGTATTTGATTTTTATCATCATAAACATTTTCATCCTGAGCATTAAATTCTCTATATTTAATTAGACATTAGCCATTTGTTGTAGCTAATATATGCAGTTACTCACAATTATGAATTCCTTAACTTTTAAAGATTTCTTAAATTCAAAAATAACTAGAAAACTAAAACACATTGTTCTCATCTTTTTTGCAAAGAGATATTGTACATTTCTGTTTATTATATGTTGTAATATTGTAATATGTTGTTGAACATTTAGAGAAAAATCTGTTTTTAAATAATGTTTAGAAAAGGCAAGGCAAGTCTAACATATAATCCTAGTAGCAAGTTTATTTTTTTAATAATTCCAGTGAAGAAGACAAGACATTCTCGATCAGTCCAGTGGAATTGGTAATAGCTTAACTTGAGCATATGCTAATTGATGTAATCGCTTTATTGCACATATTCTTTTGCACATATCCATAATCTCAATAGGAAAAAAATTCCTTTTCTAGTTGCCAGGGTAAATTTACTTAGTTTGTTAATCATAACTGTAAGTGATGAATAATTCTTCATATTTTGCCTATTTGCATTTCCCATCTGAAATATATTTCATTGTGTTTAATTACACATGTGGCCACAACATCCTGTGATGTTACTTTGGGTGTGTTAACACAATCATAATCACAGGCTACTGGTTTATGAACAAGGAGATTAGATTAATTCATTTTAAGGCAAGTCTATTGTAGCTACCTATTTTAAGTGATGATAGCACAATTAGAAATTAAATCATCTGATTTGTCTATATTATTTTGTGGCATACTGAATTTTTGCTCATCATTCAGACTTTGTTTTATGTAAGCTGAATCTGAAAAGAAAAATGATCTTCCTTTAAATGTGAAGCAAAAGAATGTAGAAGCAATTCCTTCATCTAATACTTCATTTCTTTAAGCAAATGGTTAGGAAATTTCATAGGATGACTTCGTTCTGCCTTGGAAATCTCCCATGTTATACATAAATAAAGAACCTTTAGTACCTGTATTTGTTTAAATTAAATCAGACTATTATGCACACTCAGTTAAAGGTGATGAAAAGCAGTGCCAAAAACAGATAAAAATGCAGCATCGAAGGTCTTTCATGAGGCAAAATACATAGACTGGAGACTTGGCTAAATCTTTTACTATTCACTGGCAGTAAGGAATCTCCTCCTTTCCTTTTATCCACAACTTGATGGAGAAGGAAACACTATTTCTAAACCATCTGTAGTGGCTAAGTTCAGCGGGCTACCTGCTGTTATTTTGTTCTATCCTCCATTTAATTCCTTAGTTCCTTTTATTTTACAATGACAAAAAATTGCAGTGTAGTTTCTTTTGAAAAACAGTGTTTGAGGGTTTTTTTTTATGACTGGCAATCAACAGCCATGTAATTGCTTTGTTATGTTTTACTAAAGAAGTCTGTTAAGTAGCACAACTTTGATACACTAGTAATAAGAGTTTGCAGGTTACAGAGACACCTGTGGTGACCAAAGCGACAGAAGCTGCTTAGTAGAAAGAGCCAGTACAGCTGTGTCCTATTAACTCCTTATGACACTTTTTTAAAACACAAAATAAAGGCCTTGTTTAAGGCTTTCGAGCTATTTCTCAATGAATTGAGGATGGGCTATGAAGTATGATAGGATATTTCAATCTATATTTTTTTAAATGTGGCATCTTGTTAGTAAGTTTCTGTCATTAAAATAAAAAGAAGTGATATTAAAGACTGAAAATAGAAATATCTAGGAATTCAATTTAATAAAGAATGTAACGATTTCTGGAATTTAAAATACTTGGCATCCTTATTTAAAATCAAATTCCATCTGTATTACAAATTAAAAACTATTTTAACTTATTACACTTCTCTCTACAAAAGTAATACAGTTATGTAGCTACTTTTCATGTGCAGTCCTCATTATTACTGTTAAGGCAAATAGGAAAATATACATTTTACAAACAAGATGAAAATTCATTGGACTGACATATTCCTAAAAGAGCATAAAAGTGGGTTTCCTTTTGACATATGAAACTGTAAGAGAATTAGTTATATAGGCTGATATTAATGCCCCCCAAAAGGGTTTACTTTAGCTGCAAGTTTCTTACCACCTATCATAGATTCATCTAAATAAAATCGTCTAATTGAGTTTTGTCTCTGTGGTCTCTCTTGTATTTTATCACCACATTTATCCAAAGGTGTTTGTCATGAAAATTAATTGCACCATCCATTTGATGCTATTACCATTGAGTAACAAAACTTCAAACTTTTAAATCAGTAGAAGACTGCTGCATTAATAATTAGTGGGCTACATATGGAAAGTTGTTATGCCATCATTTGTCTATTACTAGGGAGTTAAAATGGGACAGATTTACATGTGGAAATATAGAGGAGATTTCCAGGCATCAGAAATAAGATTGTTGCTGTAGGTGCCCTTTTACCTGGGGGTGGGGGTGGGGGGTTGCTTGTTTGTTTGTTTTATGACAAAATGTAAAAGTTTAGAAATGAATTTATGGTGGATAGCTTGTCTGGTCCCATACCTGGCTATTGTAGTTGAGGCTAGTCATAAATTTAGAGAAACCTGAACCTGTAAGCTATTTAGTCTGGATGCTTCCTTAGTGGTTTTCTGGAACTATCCCTGATATAATAGCCAGGGGAAATTGATACCCAAGATGGGTAGAGACTTGCCAAGAAAATTTATGTTTGCTTATGAAATACTCTAAGCCTACAGAAGCATTAATCCTTAATTTATTGTGAATCTCTCATGTCTGTAGAATATAAGTGAAGGATATGGAACTAAGTGAATGCTTTGGTAGGGTTACTAGAATGTCAATTGCTATTATGTTAAATTTCCTCATTTCCCTAATAAACTAGAGTAAAAAATAAACAGATTTCTATAGAATGTCACTTTCTTACATCCCTGTGATGTTGATGATTTTGAATTTCTCACCTCCAAAATAATTCTAATAACTTTCTTTATAAGTTGAATACTCAAGTTAACCAACCTATCTATATTATAAAAGCCTATGCGACCATTAAGGCAGAACTACCGGTCACGATGATGCACAATGACCACCAGAGGGCAGACGCTCAATGCAGGAGCTGCCCCTGGTGGTCAGTGCGCTCAGCCAGAAGCCAGGCTCACGGCTGGCAAGTGCAGCGGCAGTGGCGGGAGCCTCTCCTGCCACCGTGGCAGTGCTAAGGAGCAGTGAGCAGGTGGGCGGTAAGAAGTGAGGGGTCCCTGCGGGGAGTGGACCTAAGCCAGCAGGCGGACATCCCCCGAGGGGCCCCGGACTGCAAGAGGGCGCAGGCCAGGCTGAGGGACCCTGCCCAGTGCACGAATTTTGTGCGCTGGGCCTCTAGTATCTGTATAAAGTAGATTAGAATAATTCCTAGATTTATCTTGGAATATTCCACATATGAACTGAGACATCAAACTTTAGCTGTAATGATTATTACAGTGTACATGCTCACTAAATTATCATATAGAACAAGTAGTCGTCAGCCTTTCGGACCTCATGGACCTCCAGTGGTCCATGGACCACCAGCTGACGACCGCTGGTATAGAAGGCTTATTCATTTTATTTGTTTCATTAAAAAAGGAACTGTACAAAATTTTAGGGGAAAAAAACTCAATAAGCATTTGGCAAATTAATGTATTGTATCCAATTCCACCTAAGACTATTGCTTATAATTTCAGTATTGTATATTGAAGTGGAGGTTTCTTTCTTAGAAAACTCTGAACAGCCTTGTTGGCTGCCATGTCTATTTAGATTTCAGGGCCACTGTTTCTTAAAGCAGTAGGCAGAAAGCCCTGTCAGTCTTGAGAGGTGCTAGAAGATATAATTTTCTAAATATCCATTTAAACAATAACACTAATAGAAACAGTGAGCTATACCTATAAATGAAAGATATGAAAGAGCTAAAAACAGATAGTAAATAAGGAGATCCTGCAAATCACTTCTGGAAGTGGCTAAAATATATTTCAAGAAAGTTATATTTCCTTTATGTTTATTCATTGAATAAACATAGTGTAATAAGAACCAGGGGTGGTGCTATGCAGTGAGGACGAAAAGTTGAAAAAATTGTAATGCTAATGTTCAAACACTCGTCGTCTGGTAGGCAAGACAGACCTAGAGCTAATATGTGATATGAAGTATGTACAAGGTGCTTTGAGAGAATAAACGAACTTCCTAGTGAGTTATTCTATCTGAGGGGGCCAGGACCTGGAAGAGAGGACACACAGAAAAATGAAATTAGAATTTAACTTTTTCTCTTCAGAGATTTTTATATTAACAGCATTCCTAGTTTATTAGGTTGCAGATATTTGTTATTCTTACAAAAGGATATTGGTATTTTAAACTTCATCATTAGGTGTCTGAAATGAAGAGTCAGTGGTTTACAAACATGATTGAAAGAGAGGAAAAAATAGAAGGCTATGGCCAGCTAATATATTCCTATTATGGTCTGAACCAGATTGAGGATTAGGGTCACCCAACCAGGATGGACAGATCTCAAGAAGTTGTTTTCTTAATGATTGATCCAGTTGTGGCATATGCTTACAGACAAATAATGGAGCAGAGATCAGATACTCTTTTGGATTCTAACATGTAGACACCATCATAGATTTAACTAATACAATAAAAGTAATTTTAGCACACTATATTCATAGTAAATAAGTTCTTGGACTATAAAATAATAATTTCTTAAAATTCAGGACTGATATTACCTCTAGGAAACTTCATCTCTCTCCATCCTTCTCTTGCCTCATTTCAGGTTAAAATGTACATTCTATATGTTCCCATATATCCCTATACTAATTGTATCGATGGTACTCATTACATTATGTGATTGTTCACTAGCTCCCTGCCAGGTTGTCAGCTCCCCAAGGGAGCTATGTCTATAATCTCAATGTGTTACACAGTACCTTTTTAAAAGTAAGTG